CCGCATGAATTCAAATCCAAATAGAGAAGCGACCGACAATTCAGGAAAGGACCCTTCACCGTTGCTATTGGGTTGTTCTGAAGTTCCAACGTGATCAAGCCTGCACTGTCCCTATTAGATATAAGATTTAACGAGTTAAACTTATGCCGTGTTTCACATAACAAACGTATTCTGATATTACCTAAAAGCTTCTGAATCGACGTGAGTGATGGCGTTGAAAGAAAAATCGGCATCCAAGAGATATGTCAGCCCGGCAAAAGATTCATATTTGAGTTGGGAAAGTCGATTATGTGCCATCTGAAGTCGTCTCAGCTTAATACCATGTGGAAATGGTCCAAAGCGTTTTATATTATTGCCATTCATGTCAAGTACATAAACGTTTGGGCTGAGTTCACCGTATGAGATGCTGGTCAGGTTGCTTTCCGAGCAATCGGTCACCCAGTTGATACGGAAATAGTGACAGTGACAGTCGACCGGGCATTCTTGTTCAGCTAACTCGGCGTTGAAAGAGAGAGTCGATGCAATTAGACTGGTTAAAAGCAGGAACAGTCCTAACATTCTGTTTACCGATCGATATCTAAATTTGGAAACAAGAGATAAAGAAATTTTTTAATAATATACAATACATTAAATAAGATATAGGCGCGAGCGCGTACACGTACGCGTATGTATGTGCATGCGTGTGTGTTTGTGTGGATGTGTGTGTGTGTATATATATATATATGTATGTTTGTGAACGTATTAATAATGAACTGATGGAAGAAAGCATGAAAGACCAAAGACAATTCTATGTAAGAACAAACAAGACAGGAGCAGTAGCACGCGTCCATTATCAAAGATTATCATCACGCAAACCGACATAGTCTTGGTCTTGGCGGTAAATTACATTGCAGAACGTTATGCCGTTTCTCTCTTTTATCCCCTTGGAATAGACGAGTGCTGGGGACAAAGGAAGAACTCGTCGGCGCCTCTGGCAAGAGCCAAAAAGAAAGAGAGAAAAAAAAGAGAAAGAGAGAGAGAGTGAGAGAGAGAATGAGAGAGGATAAGAGAGGATGAGACTTGGGTAGTTGTACAACGAACGAAGCTATAAGAGTAGTAGGAGCTTTCCGGCAGAACGACACGGTAGGCGTTCCACACGGTCGACTGATTCCTGGAGCTTTTCCACCCGCGCGGAGTTTGCTTTCGGCCTCTGCCCGTTTTACTCGACGACGTCCTCCCTTGAGGGAAGAGAAAAGAAAAAGAAAAAAGAGAAAGAGAGAGAGAGACAGAGAGAGAACAGCTCGAAGGCGGTACATTTTCCGTTTTCGATCCATTCCTTCTTTATTTTTCGCAGTCCTCTTGCCTTTGGCGCCGCGGAATCCTTTTTCCTTCTCTCTTTCTCTTCAAATCTCATTTCATAGGAAGGATTCCCTAACACTCGTCGTCCTTCTTCGTCGTCGTCCTCGGCCTCGTGGTGGTGTTCTTCCTCGTCCTCGTCCTTCTCCATCTTCCTTCCTCTTTCTCTACCTTCTCCTCCTCCTCTTCCTCCTCCTTCTCTTCCTCAACCTTCTCTTGGGGAACCGCCGGAGCTTGACAGTCATTTGCATTCAAACTCCACCCGAGACATTCATACTTTTTCCAAATATCGTCTTTCTTTATGCGCCAGAGTTCAGCTTTCGGTAGAGACTTCAGACCTTCGGGGCGGACGCTTTCCTTCCATTCGAATTTACGTCTCGACTCCACCTTAGTCAACCCTCGCGATCCTCCTCCCTTTATCCGACCTCGACCGTCATCCCTCTCTCCTTTCCCTATCCTCCCATTTTCACCGATTTTATCTTCCCCCTTCTTTCTTTCTTTCTTTCTTTCTTTATCGTGTACACGGATAGGAGGTAAGCAGAAATAAAAAAAAAAAAAAAAATAGGAAAAAAAAAGGTGTCCCTCTACTTTGGATAATTAGCTTTCTTTCGCTTTTGACTCTCAAAACAAACGCGATTGCTCGTTACGTTTTCTTTCGTGAATCTACGAGACACTTGGTCGACCCTAAAAAAAAAAAAAAAAAAAAAAAAAGAGAGAGAGGAAAGAAAAAAAAAAGAGTATGGACGAATCTCTTTTCTTAATCCATCATATTCCCGCTCTCGAAGATTAAAAAAAGAATAAAAAAGAAAAATATATATATATATATATATATATATATATATATATATAAAATCAAAAAGAAAAAAAAAAAAAAAACAAAGAAAAAAGAGGAAGTAAGAAAAAGAGAAGAAAAATGGTTATTCCCGACTCCATTTTCTAAAGTAACCAGTTAATTTCAAGGACCACTTGCCCGACCGAATATTCATTCTCTCCCTCTCTTATTTATATTACCATGACCAAGAACAAAAATAAAATGGCGTTGGTCTCTAACGTTACCTTATTTTCCTTTAAAAAAAAAAATAAAAAAAAGAACAAAAAATAAATAAATAACAATATATATGTATATGTTACTAGACTCTGCAAAGAATGTTTTTACAAATCTTTTTAATACGTCTAATCGTGCCCACTTGAGCGTTCTAATTCTCCTATCAATGAATCTATATACACAGGCTGCCTCATTTAATCCTCTAATTAGTGGAAAATAAATGATACTATTAAAGTTTCCATTTCTATTTATAGTATTTTATATATACAAGGTTGCTATATAGTATTTTATATATATTTTCTGATTTCTAGTTTCAGTTGAGAGGAGGAAAGAAAAGAAAGAAAGAAAGAAAGAAAGAAAGAAAGAAAGAAAGAAAGAAAAAAACCTTTCTTTCTCCACCCTGTATATGTCTGTGACATTTTATTGATTAAATTAATATTCCTTAATTTTCTGAAAAATTTATTGATTTATTTATATTATTCTATCAACTATAATATATTTTATACGCTTATTCTTTTTTTCTTGCTGAAATCTAAGAATTATAATGATCCATCACTTAAAAAAGAATGTATATATATAATAAATTAATTAAATAATTGTAACTATTTAATTCAGAGAGAAAGTGTGTGTGTGTATGTGTGTGTGTGTATGTGAGAGAGAGAGAGAGATAAAAAAAAATACTTAAAAAATTTCTCTAATTCATGAAATTCTTTCAAAATAATTAAATTCTTCTCGATGAAAAACAGTTTCCTGTACACTGACTACTTCAAATTATTTTCACGCAACTCCCATTAGAAATTTCTCACCCAGTATATTATATACTGTATTACGGTTGAACGAGAAAACATGTCAGCGAATTGCACGGACTGTTTAAATCTACGCGCGCGTTCCATCGCGGTTTGTGCCGTACGTCCGTCCGTGCGCACGCGCACACTTTAACACCGAGTAAGATTTATATTTACATACACATACAACACATGCATATGTATTTTCTCTACACATATATTATATCCACAAGTAAATGCGCGCTTGTACATATGGTATACGATAAGTGTATATACGTGTAAAAGATTTACGAATGAATTCGAGCTGGACAAAAAAATGCTGAATGTCGCGATGGCAATGAATTCATGAGTATGATTATACTAACTTAAAGGACGGATGCACGCATAACTCGTGAGTAAGAATTATTACTACGAAGACTAACATTAAGTACGTAAGTATATGTTTATGTGTATGCGTGCGCGTGTCTAACAACCGTGAATAAAAAGAACGACTGTGCAACAAAGTATGCGTGTTTTCACTGATAAGCTTTGCTACGAGAGAAAACCAAAAATCTATGAGGTTAAAGAATTAGAAAAAAAAAAAAAAAAAGAAAAAAATAAAAAAAAAAGAAAGGAAGAAAGGAGGAAGAAAAAAAAAAAAATAATTAAAAACAAATCACATGTAAATCATGAATAAGATGCTTAACGAGAAAACAAAATATCTCTTTCATTAAGTCTAACAAATTGGATTTTACACTTGTATTAAAGCGCCATTTTAAAATACGAAAGTCGGATTATATCGGAATTACTCGTACATCCTCGTTTAATAACCTCATTTTATATATATATATAAAAATATGAAATGAACTTATTTGATCGTAGAGTTAAAAAAAAAAAAAAAAAAAAAGAAACTAAATTTCTTAACCAAGTAATTACAGTATCGTAGCTGTATCTAGATAATCATATCGTTAAACTTTTTTCATTGTTTGATGAAATGTATACAGATTCTTTCGAGATAGTAGGTTAAAAGTATAAAAACCGACACGAAGAGTAAAACTTAAGAATAAAAGCAAAGAAGTTAATTAAGATAGAATTGATTAGTACTTTCGTAAAAAAAAAAAAAAAAAAAAAGGAAAGAAATATCGATTTCAAATCATTCAATTAGTTTATTTTGTTACTTGTTAATACGTTCTTGGCAAAGACAATAGAGTTAAGGTCGTAGAAAAAAAAAAGAGAGGAAGACGAAGAGACAAATAAACACAGAGAGAGACAGAGAGACAGAGAGAGAGAGAGAGAGAGAGAGAAAATGGATCAGTATTGCATGTATGTATTTTTAACGGGTCGGCCATTTTTGATTACGCAGCACAACCTACGTACGCTTGAAAACAATTTCCCGCGAAGGACATTTGACCAATTAACGAATAAAATACGAAAAGTAGATGATCGTCGCAATCGATGAACATATATATATATATATATTTATATATATTGTATACATATATATAGTTGTGTGTGTATATATGTATATATTGCATTATTTTCTATTCTATTATATTACATCACATTACATTATATTATATTATATTATATTATATTATATTATATTATATTATATTATATTATATTATATTATATATATAGTATAGGGTAGGATGAAATGTGAAAAGTACCGCGTTCTCAATTCTAATCGAGATCAAATGTTTTATCGGTCGATCGAAGTTTCACTTAATTAAGTAAACACATTGGACGCGAACAGAGTGATTTTCTATCGGGTTAAAAGCATTCGCGAATAGTCTCTTCCATTATCATTACATAATACCCAATAATCGACACCCTCCGAATGAATTATCTTCGGAGTGTGAACAAAGTTCGTACGTACACGAAAACCATGTAAAATTAAAAAAAAAAAAAAAAAAAAAAAAAAAAAAAGAGAAAAAAACGAGAAAATAAAACGAAAAAAATTATATATGTATATAGAAACAAATAGAAAGGGAGAAAGAAAGAGATAGACAGAGAGAGAGAGAGAGAGAGAGAGAGAGAGAGAGAGAGAAAATAAATACATAAATAAATATATAAATAAATAAATCATTCGATGGGAAAGAAAGTTAAAAAAAAAATAAAATTATAAGAAAACTTAATGAGATCATATATATATATATATGAATAAAATTGAAGAAAAAAGAAACAAGAAAAAAAAAATTGATAAAAAGACAGTTAAAGGTTAGGTCGCCGTAAAATCGTGCGATTCACGTACAACAAATGACCATGGCCAATGACAATGACGCATAAGCAATGTCGAACAAAATAAGAAGCATGATTCAAGTTCAATCGTCGTTTAATCGTATACAGATTATTATCTTTTGTTGTTTTCATCTCTCTGTCTCTTTCTCTCTCTCTCTCTCTCTATATATATATATATATATATATGTATAT